GAGTTATTGGGGGAGGTTGTTTCCTAAGGATCCTTGGTAGCTCTGTGAATTAGGCACTGGGCTGGTCAAAGGCTCAAACCCACTCGTGTACTGGGGAGAAAGATGAGGCTGTCTGCTCCCATAAAGATGTAGTCTTGGAAATCCTATAGAAGGTCTCTATAAATCCTAGATGGCAGTGGGCGGTTACCGTTCATCATGTGACCTTAATCCACTATAGCAGGATGAAATTCGCTGGTGTCATCATTCTCAAACTGGGAGGAAGAAGAGGCCAAAAGGGTTACCGTCTGGGAAATCCACAGGGGCAGCCCTCCCCGGTCCTGTAGGGCCGCAATGAATGGGCACTGCAGCCATGGCGCTGAATTGGGGGGGAATTATTCTCAACTGTTCACCAGCAGATGTTCAAAGTCCCGATTGACTGCTCACCACTGGTAATGACGAAGACGTTACAAAGGAAACAAGGGATTCCATTTGCAGCCAAAGTGTTGCGGATGGTGTTGCGGGAATGGAACCTCCACTCGAGCTGCGATCGTTTTTCCCTCATCCCGACAGAAGCCCAGCGTGGGCACCGGTGGGTTTCGCTGCCTGGAGCAAAACTTGCAGGAGGTGCGCAACTGATCGTTGGTTTGATGGCCTCCATGTCCTCCCTTGATCTCCTGTCCCCTCCATACCCACCCCAGTCCCAGCCCCAAGCAAGCCCTTCATTCCCCAGGCCCCTCCCGCGTTCCTCTTACACCGTGCACCCCTCGACCCGTCCCCACCAGTTACCTTGCTCCAAAATAGACCTCAAAAAAAAAAAATCTGTCCTCTTTCGGATCGACCCACAAGAACGTCTACTGGGGCCACCAAGCATTCAGCACCCACCAAGCATTGGGTCCCCAAGCATCCAGCACCCACCAGGTCCCCACGATCCATGGATGAATGAATGAGTTAATGAATGAACGAACGAACGAACGACACCCTCGGGCCCCTCTTAGCCCTTCAGTCTCCCGAACCCCACCGTGCCGGCGTCCGAACACTTCCGTCGCACTCGTCCCAATTCCCTCGGGACCTCCCGTTCGGGAACGCCCCGCCCACCACCCTGGGGCAGCTCGGCTTCACAAACCTTCCAGAAATGTCCCCAACCGGCCCGTCGAGTCCCCGGGCACCGAAATCCCGCCTGGTCGCTTCCAACGAGACCCCCCCGGCCCCCTCAGGGCCGCGACCGCCTCCCCCCCGCTCGCGACCCTCGGTCCCTCACGCCGCACCGGCCCTGACCGTTTCTGGGCCTCCAGCCCCCAGAGGCGGATTTGCCGGTCGTACTGCGCCGCCTCCTCCTCGCTGATGCCGCCGCCGGTCTCCTCCTTCTCCACCATGGCGCCGGCTTCCCGC